CGGAAAGTACGCAGCCTAAGTAGCGTAACCTATGGAGCATTAGTAGCTCACCGCTGGAGTGTGCCGTCTTCCTGAAACAATCAGAAGTACCTCGGCACTACTATTCCGACGTCCGTACCAGACCCGGTCAAGGCCCCGGATAAACTTATGGTCAAATACTTCAAGTTTTCGTACGTCCTCTGCGCGTGGACATCACTTCTCTGATGCATAAGGCAGTATGCGTTGCACTATTACAGTGCTCTCGGAGGACACAGCTACGCCATAGCTGTCGAACGTTGGCAAAAGCTGCCATGGCCTTCCAAATTCAAAGGGTGCTTTGGTCTCAGGCCGGAAATGATCAGATAAATAACTTTCCTTACCACATCAACTAGCATTAGGTTTGGGCTTGATTCGAAGCAGTCTTGCACTGCAGATGGACTTTGCACAAGAGATCAGCTGCTTGAATGAAGAGTGAGACCATCATGCCATCTGTAGCGAGCAAACAAGCCTGTTTTAGGAGTGGGATCAAAGTGTAGACTCCAGAATGTAAATTCAACGAGAAGACGAGCACGCTGGTCTTACAAAGAAGAACACTTACCTGGTTCGCTGGAGTGTGGCACGGTGTGGTACCGTCTAAAAGAGTGGAATCTTCGACAACCGGTGCCGTTGTAACTGTCTGGGTTGCGCCTGATAAACCAACTCCTCGGGTTCCTCGACTCCGCGACATACTTGGTGCAGGTGGTGGCGGAAGTAGCCCTGCTGCGGTCGATCCACCGGCAAGCTTCACAACTTGTTTGGGTTTGACAGATTCACTCGAAACGGAGGGATCGTCACCAGTACGTCGTGTATTAAGGTTGAGTTTGATTGTCTGGCCTTCCTTGAACCCGAGGTTGAGAGATGGTTGAGATTTCAACTTTTCTTCGGTTTCTGCTACCTCCTTCTCTTGTTGGACCCACCTGGGGTGATAAGATAAAGCAGGACAGTGAAATTAATGAGATCACACATCTTAAAAGGAGTTAGCTAATCGTGCTCGTAGGTTGCTTGGCACTATGCTACGAACTCACTTTGTCTACGGTATATGCTGAAACGGTAAAAGCACTCACATGGACGTTTAACGTTGGTAGAAACACGCTCAACCGAGCAAACGAAGACTTACTAGGACGATCTTGGCAGCAATATGAAGGGAAGAAGAGCACAACTATGTGGCAACACAGTGCGCCAACCGAAGTCTCGTCATTGCTTTCAGCTGTAACACTTTTACGGTGCATAACTGTCACGCCACCCGAGGGAACCACGAGAGCTAAGATACTTTCAAGTTGCTCAAGCCTAGACAAGAGCAGCCGAGATGCAGAGGTTGGATTCGAATCACGCACTTTCCGCTAAGTAAGTCCGCGGTTTAACTACTGAGCAACCTTGAGCTCAACCTCTCCATACCGACAAAAGATAGGTTAGATAAAGTCAGCTTTAAAAGCCACACACTCATCGTTCAGCTATGGACTGTGACCGCCGGCGAGTTGCGCAATTCAGTTGAAAAAACAACGAACCTTGCTATGAGTTCAACGCGGCCCCAGACGAATTCGCTGTACCCGGTAGCACCAGCAGTGATACAACTACACTCTATTCTATGGATCCCAGGTTAGGAGATAACCCTACCACCGAGATCAGAATCTTGAGTCTCTGCGAGAAGACAGGGTCCTCATACACATCGCCTTGTGCGTCAGACTTTCGAGTCAAAAGCTAGAAGCGGGGTCCGTAATCCAAGCTCTACATCCTCTCACAGCACTGAGGTGAGCTTAAAGGTCTCAACGCGCGGATACTTAAACTAAATAATCTTTTCGGGCCTGGGCCACCGGGAATTATCATTTGTCCGCAGACTTTTTTGTTCACCGAAGCCCCCCTCCCCAACGTCTTCCCAGCAGACACGCAAAAGTTGCTGGATCACATATTGTCAGTTAGCTGACCTATGAGACTTGTACACTCATCCGCTTATTGAAAATAGACGAAATAACGGAAATTTTAACGTCCGTAATCTATGTAAAATTGGCGAGGACAATCCTCGCCGAGAACTTATCCTCCTTTAAAATTAATGTATTCTGTGTCTGTAAAACACCCACAAAGACCCAACAGAGGTTATGCGTCTCAAAAAGTCGAGCACGAACTCAACTATTCTACATTTCACTCTCCGTGTGTGCGGTATTCCAGAAGTAATGACTCCTGGAATATATGGCGTCGGAGTTGAACTTAGCTCCAGAGCTGAACGTGCTTTGCTGGATTAGATTCCAGTGAATAGTCACCTTTACTGGTTACGTGCGCGTGGATGAAGCATGGAAGCGTGTGAAAAGAGCAGTCTTCAGAAGTGTGTCGGCTTCCAGATTCGTCTAAATAATCATTGGATATTTTCAAGATCGCTAGTCTTGATTGATGTCAGGAAATTTACGCCAGCAAGCAACGAGTACGATGGTGCACACAAATCACTCAAACGTTAAACAGTAACGATCCATTACTCTTGCGGAAAAGCTGAGAGGAAAGGTATCTATCAAGGGAGTGACCAGAGGAAAAACTATCAGTCAAACGGTAGGTGAAAAAAGAGGGCTTATTGATTTACTCCCAAAAGCATCGAATGAAAAAAAGGGCCGGACATGTTGAGGAACAGTTAAGCTGACCACTTGCAGCACAGCCTCTGGAGACATTACCTAAGGGCAAATGGAATGTAAAATGCAACTGCCCATCAGAAGTATAATACGAAATATCCGTACAGAAACACTAGAAGATACCAAGACCGGAAGATCCATGTTCAGCCCTCTGTAAAGGAGACGGAGAATCCCTCGCTACTCATTCGATAAAAGGTATTGGTGCTCTACAGAGTGAAGGCCGACTGCCAGCAGAGTGAGACACATCAACAGTCATGTCCGTTTTCAAAATTGGCAGGCGTCACTATGTGAAAACTACAGTGTACCACCTGGCAGGTGAGACATCGAATATGCACTGCAACTTCAATATTCAGAGGATGACTGAACACAGAGAGAGACAGATCCGATAAAAAAAGCATAGTTCCCGTCTCATAAGATGACGCACTGGTCACATTTTCACCCTCAAACCGATCCTGGAACAGCAGCGCTGCTTCCAGCGACCAATAATGTTTATCTTCCTTGACTTGAAAGCTGCCTTTGACTCTGTGGACCGTCAGGCACTATGGCAGTCTGTGGATCAAAGGTGTCTATCATCAATTCTTGAGCCTCCTTAAGGTGCTGTACGTCAACTCCTGTGGCCGCATGAAAGTCTACGGAAAACTCTCCCACAAGTACAATTAATCAGATAGTGTCAGAAAAGGCTTATCTTCTTGACCTTTCCTCTTCAACTTCGTAAGTGATATGGAAGATTCATTCCCAGCTTCTAATGCCTGTGGAGTCGAAGTGCTCCCTCACGCTTTGGCATGCATTTCAGAGCTGCAAAGCGTAAAGTGCTACTGCAAGACTGGATAGGATCAAAACCTAACCTCGTGTTTGCGCATGAGCCGACTAAGGTAGAAGACAAATTCGTCTACCTGCACAGCTGTATCAGTCCTGGTGGTCTTGCCAACGTTGATTTTTTATATGTGGATTGGGAAGGTCAGAACAGGTTGCACGATTTAGCACCACTTGTGACGCAGACGTGACATCAACTCATCTGTCAAAGGTCGAGATTACAATGCTGTGGTGGGCTTTATATTATTGTACTGGTCAGAAACCTGGTCGCTGCACTCCGAGGACGTCAAGACTTGCAACGCTTGACCATTGATGTCTTCGGAGAAACGCACGAGTAAGTGGGAACACCGCATCAGTAATGATGAAGTACGTCGAATCGTTTTTGAAAGAAATAACTAGCCCACAATAGGTGAGCTGCTCTATAGATTGCGCTGGCTTGGTCACGTGTTCCAAGTGACAGTCAACAGAATTGTCGGAGAAAACTTTTTCGCACAACCACACGAAGGATGGAAGCGAGTCAGGGGAGGTCACATAGTGACTTTTCAGTGAAATACGAAGGCCATTACTAGCAAATTCTGCTGCGCTGGTTATTTTTTAGTCAGTTGGTTGAGTTTTTCTGCGCATAGATCGTGCATGGAAGCGCGGTGGTTCCAGCTGCTATAGGTCCGTTAACCTGGGACAATGAAAATAAGAGATTGAGAGTAACGTGTTGGAGACGATGACCCAACCATTTCGCTGAAGTCAAATTGCTCTGGTTGTCCGGTGTCGTAGAGATGAAGAGCTACGCAATGAAGGCGATAGATTCGACACAAGACCATCATTGGGAGGAATATAATATAATAATCGTACTCAAAAGCCACGTACTGCAAGACTGGATATGATGTTTTTTTAGTCTGTCAGAATGTCCGGCATAGGCAACCCTTTGAAGGTTGCAGACAAAACAATTATGTGGAAGTTATATAATATCATAAGTGATTGTGAGACGATGGAGGAATTCTAGTGATTGCACCATGTCAACAACATACCCCTATTAGTGGGCAGTCTTCAATGTAATCTGCCGTACGGCCGTTCCACCTGTAAGTGCTGATCGAGCCACTAAATTCGATGACAAGTGCAAGGTAACTTGAAATATTAATGGCCAGACTAGATTTCCGCTTTGAAGAGCTCTTAGTGAACAACAGAGAAACATATAAAAGATTAGACGAGCGCATTAACACTTTAGCCTGACATGCATAAACTAAAGGTAATGTTTTTCTCCAGGAAGGTCAGAGGACAACTCCGGAGTGCCGACTCATCCAGTTATACCACAAGTAGACATTAATGGATAGATCATGGCCAAGCTGCGTACCAACTGAATCAGAAGAACGAAGTGTGGACAGGTTACTCGTAGAAACAGATACATTTCTAACACTGCAAGAAACCGTTACTTTTCTAGAGAAACAACTTCGAAGCGACTTTCTACACTGTGGACTTCTGAAAAGAAACCAACTCGAAAAATAAAGATACCACAAGAACCACGCCAATAAGACAAAATACACTTACTTGAAATGGTCTTGGATGGTCACATTGAAGTCAAACGAATCGGAGCGTTCTGCAAAGCCAAGCCCCGTGTACATTGTTCGACCGTCATCAGCCATAAGACGGATTACAAAATACCGACTCGAGTCCATCACAGACTCGACTGCGATCCCTGGAAACGCGTCCACGGGACATTTGGCATACAATTCCCCCGAATTACGGTCCTCTAGTTTCAAAGTCAAATCTTTGCCCTTGGCAACAATTCGCAAACGTCCGGTCCAGAACGGAGTGTCCAACCCCCAGTCTGCAGCCCGGTAACCTCGATTGGATTGTCGTGGAGGAATTTGGTAAATATAAACTTCGTTTTTCACTAACAGAACATTCTCATAGTCCATTATTAAACCAACGTCACCAGCTGAAAAGAATAATACTTATGAGAATAATAATGAAAGACCGCTTTACCACCAGCCAGCTGTGAATAAACAGTCACAGAACCGGATATCCGGGAGGTCGGCTCGTCCTTACGCAGAACACAAACAAGCATACGTTAATTAGGTTGATGGGAGTACTGGAAGTTGTATAACAGAAAAGTACCTTTGGGACTCAAAGCTTAAATGATCGTATAGGTCTCCACACCTTGCAGGAGGAAATGACGCGCTTGACGTCGTCGACAGAGTAGGGGAGATTCTTGCAACGCACGAAATGAAACACACGGGTAATGCCTGGATGGCAGAGGGAGCTATGGAGCTCCCCGATTTGGTTATTGCTCCCCATGGAAGCACATACGTTTCGTGACAGAGTGTCTGCAACATGATTGTCTTTGCCAGGTCGGTATATGATATCATATTTGTACTCGGACAACTCAATCCTCCATCGTTGTATCTTGTCGTTTTTCACTTTACCCTTCTGTCCACCACCGTACATGAATGTAACTGAACGCTGGTCGGTGATCAGTTTGAAGGGTCTTCCGAGTAGATAGTGCCGCCATTTCCTGATGGATTCAACGATAGTGTAGGCCTCCTTCTCGATAGCAGAATGATTCTTCTCGCTCGGATTGAGTGTCCTCGAGAAAAAGGCCACCGGTCGACGGTTTTGGCTTAGGGATGCGGCTATAGCCACATCGGAGGCATCCGTTTCAACAACCAAAGGCTCGTTATAATCTACTGTAATTAGTGTAGCATTTTCTAGTTCGTTCTTTAGGTTGTCGGAGGCCAACTCGACGTCGGCAGGTAGAGGGAATGTGTTATTCTTTACCAGTTTGTTGATTTTGTCCAATGAGCGTAATATGCAAACATACCGATGACACGTTGCATTTCCGTGGTAGTACGCGA